CTTGATCCTTCTCAGGTACTTGACTATATGCTTTACCGCAGTCTAATGCTCCGGTCCTAGATTACTTTGATATATGAATACCGTGCTCACAACATAACACATATCTGATCGTGTGCACAACATTGCATACATTAAGCTTCCTACTTCTGATGCATAAACAACAACCTTTGTGTCCCCTATCTCATGGGGTGTCTTGGAAGACATCCCTTAGACAAAGAGATTCCATGCCAGAAGGGCAACTGCTCTCTATAGGAATCTTATATGCTGAAACGGGATAGTATCTATGTATGAGGACTGGGATAAGCACAACATCCTATTTTCGCGGTCCCCAATGACCTTGATCCCGAGGATGTGTCATGTGTCTCCCAAATATTTCATATCAAACTACTTAGATAGCCATACTTTCACGTCTGACAAAGTCTTTACATTGTTTCCAATGATAAGAATGTCGTCTACTTGTAGCACAAGAAACACCACCATGTTTATGTAACTTTTCTTGTACACGCAGCGGTCATCCAGATATTTGGTAAATCGAAATGATTGCACAACCTCGTCAAAACGGATGTTCCAAGACCGCGAAGCTTGCTTCAGTCCATAAATGGACCTAGTAAGCTTACAGACCAGATGTTGTTGGCCTTTTGCGACTAAACCCTCTTGTTGCTGCATATAGATGTCTGCATCCAGATTCCCGTTTAAGGAAAGATGTATTCACTTCTATCTAGCGAATCTCATAATCCATATGAGCGACAACAGCCAAGACGATGCCAATTTGATATGCAAAATTTTCCAAAATGGTTCAATCATGATCCACAAACTCAAACTGAATCATCTCTCCGATGACCTGCAATACGCTGGGAGAGTTCCCGATAAAAAACTCTCTGATGCTCAAGTCAGTATGTAAATTATCAGAAAAATCATATCAAAGTTTTTTCGCGTGTATGTGTGTTGTGTAAAATAAAAAACCTGAATACCTTTTTATACTTAGGATTACTTGGTGGCTAAGAGACTCCTAGTTAGGAAATAACTCTTCCCTTATATACTTTCCTAATCACCATATTTCCCGTATCTCAAGAGTCCTTGAAGATATACACTTTCTATCTATAAAAAGATTTTTCCCCCTCCTGTTGTACGGTTCTTAAGTCTCTATGGTCACCATCCTAATCTCTATTCCAAGTATGTCGAGGTCGTCACCACGACCTCAACCCCACCACCTACAGGTCATGAGGTCTCTTCCGTATTCGAGCTTAAAGGTCTCCCGACATCAGAGCTACTTGAGTCTCATACCAGAGCTCTTAGCTATCTGGACTTCGGTCCTTGAGCAACCTACACATGAGCTCTGTGAAACTCAAGTACTAAACCGGACTGAGCTGTCCTCCACCGTCCTTATCCGAACTAATACTTCTATTTGGTGCACCGAGCTGTTATGGATGCTATATCACATATCATTCTTGATTTAGCTTTTGATTGATAGTTATAAAAACTGAATTATTGTATGATTTTCTTTTTCGTGTTCCTTTTTTTTCTTTATTGCACTTGCACATTTGCTATAAGCTAATATTACCGATAAAAGAATATTACTATATTTTTGGATTTGTACATTTAATTTATTGTCCGTACTGTTATAATCCATGAGACTTTAGCTCTTGATTTAATTCTTATAATTTTATTTATTTGGACTAATAAAGGTAACACTGAAAAATTTGAAACACATACTCACAAAAATGCAAAAGGCAGGACATTTTGAAATTCCATATTCGAAACTCTTGACATGAATAAAAGTGCGAAAGTATTACAAGAATTTATTTTTTTTTTCTCAAAACGGCAAATATATTAAAAATTAAAAAACCCAAAAGAGTACAAACGAGGAATCAAACAACCTGGACTTACCTCCTTGCAACAACACGTGTCAAATGGGTACAACCTCCATCATGGAAACCAAAA